CCCCAAAACCCCAAAACCCCTCAAGCAATAATATAAATATTACAGTGAAATAAATCTAATAATTAATAATGTGAAGTTAACTATTATTATAAATTAATTAATATAAAAATCTTTTTAATGGCTGATAGTTTTGGGTAGTTCGTAAACTCAGCTTATTATATCATTGGATATCCTATTAAGTGTGTATTAATCATATATTAAACTGTGAATTATAGATTGCTAGTGATTTTGGCTAAAAGTTTAATAATCATTTACAAAATGATTTAAGCACTTCATTTGCATTACTACCTCAATGGCTAAAAATATTTCACCTAAGAATCAATATTATTCATTATCTTTGTTATTGAGGTAATAAAATATTTTTGTTAACATATAATAGATGAGTGTTATATTAGTTTATGATTTAGGCTCTAGATTTATCATTATGCTCTACTTCATAATGCTAGTTTCAAACTACTCAATGTTTTACGTTTTCTTAATACTATTGAACTATTCAAATAAATTTCAAGGATACATTGAATCCTCACAAGATAATAGACAGCTACTATTAAGTTCAACTTAATTGAACTCTAGTTCTAATTTACTTCATTCTGATAGAAAATCTACAATAGATTAGAAATCTAGTTCATGGTAATTAGAATATTCTTATTAGTAAAATATAGTCAGCTATTCTTAAATACTTTATTTCATTTGTTGTTCTTGAGTGCTATAGCAGCAGCTTTTACTCCTGTTCTAGAAGCTAATTGCAAAACTTACACTTATCGTAATATTATTGCAATTTATATTTTGAATTAGCCAACAGCTTTATGTATTTGTTTATTATTCAACTGATATTTAGCATATTTGTTTTAATTTACCACACTAAAGGGTAAAATCAGTTTTAATTAATCATTTTAGATTCTTTTTAAACGAAGATGAAGAGAAAATAATTACATCTCCCAACCAGGAGAAGTAGATCAAATGCTTTAAGAGATAAACTTAAGCTTTTGCTAGAGGAAATTTTATTGTGAGTATAATTCAAATTATTTGGGGATTAACTGGATTCTTCGGAGTTGAATCATAGAAATTCTTAGAGTGCTAGTAAGGAGGATATAGATGGATGGATATGAACATGTTTGGAGATCTATTTCCAAGTTTACATGTAGCTGCTGTTATAATGCATGGAGTAATTGTTGTGATAGTATTTTACAGATTTCCAAGAAGAATATTAATCGGAGAAAATGTTCCAGGAGTATTTATTGATAAATAAATTATGTTAAATGCAATTAATGATCAAGACAATCCAACTGAATTAGAAAATTAAAATGCTTTTGAATGATTTTATTTATCCAAATTAATTTTTCAAAATATTGTTGTTTTTATTCAGAAAAAAATTTGCCTGACGGGGTTTTGGGGTTTTGGGG